TAGCACACTCTGGTATTACTCTTCTTGGGAATTGGGATGAGGATTAACATTCTCCAGTCCCATGGCCACTTCTGGGCCTTCCAGATTTGCTGACATAATGATTGCAACATCCTGATGGCATCATCCTTTAGTGTTTTGAATAGTTCCACTGGAATTCTGTTGTATCCACTAGCTTTATTAACAGCAGTGCTTCCTAAGGCCCACTTGACTTCACTATCCAGAATGTCTGGCTCTGGCTGGCTGACTACACCATTGTAGCAATCTGGTTCATTTAGATCTTCCTCATAGTTCTTCTGTGTATTCTTTGCATCTCTTCTTGATCTCTTCAGTGTCTACTAGGTCTCTGTTGTTTGTGTCCTTTATAGTGCCCATCTTTGGGCAAACTGTTCCCTTGATATCTCCAGTCTTCCTGAAGAGATCTCTAGTCTTTTCCCTTCTATTGTTTCCTTCTAGTTTTATACACTGTTCACTGAAGGCCTTGTCTCTCTGTGCTCTTCTTAGGAAATCTGCATTTAGTTGGATACACCTTTCCCTTTCTCCTTGCTTTTCACTTCTTTTCTTTCTTTAGCTGTTTATAAGCCCCCTCAGATAACCACTTTACCTTCTTGCTTTTCTTTTTCTTTGGGATGGTTTTGTTCACTGCCTCCTGTACAATATTATGGATCTCTGTCCATAGTTCTTCAGGCATTCTGTATACCAGAGCTCATCCCTTGAATCTATTCTTTACCTCCACTGCATCTTCATAGGGGATCTGATTTAAGTCATACCTGGCTGGCCTAGTAGTTATCCCGACTTTCTTTCTTTTTTTTTTCCATTTATTTTTATTAGTTGGAGGCTAATTACTTTACAATATTGTAGTGGTTTTTGTCATACATTTACATGAATCAGCCATGGATTTACATGTGTTCCCCATCCCGATCCCCCCTCCCACCTCCCTCTCTACCCCGATCCCTCTGGGTCTTCCCAGTACTTTCACAGTAATATCCTTGGTGATACTGTAACTTCTTGAATTCCAAACTCTCTTTTCTAGATCTATGTGATATATGCCCATATTGCCTTCTTGCCTATCTGGAAATAAAACAAAGGATCAAACTCCTACTTAGCAATGCTTTATAGCATGTTGGATAGTAGGGCAGACTCCAAAGAAGATATACCTCATGCATTCAACCTGGGCTGGTGATCTGTTTCACCCTAGATAATATACATGTTTCGATGCTATTCTCTCGAAACATCCCACCCTTGCCTTCTCCCACAGAGTCCAAAAGNTGAATTCCAATCCCCAATGATGAACAGAACATCTTTTTTTTTTTTTTTTTTGCTGTTAGTCCCAGGAGGTCTTCTACGTCTTCATACAACTGGTTAACTTCAGCTTCTTTGGTGTTGGTGGCAGGGACATAGACTTGGATTACTCTAATGTTGAATGGCTTGCCTTGAAAACAAACTGAGATCATTCTGTCATTTTTGAGGTTGCATCCAGGTACCTGCATTTTGGACTCTTTTGTTGATTTTAAAAGCCACTCCATTTCTTCTATGGGATTCTTGCCCACAGTAATAGACATAGGGGTTATCTCAATTAAATTCACCCATTTCCGTTCATTTTAGTTCACCAGTTCCTAAGATGTTGATGTTTGTTCTTACCATCTCCTGCTTGACCACATCCAATTTACCTTGATTCGTGGACCTAACATTCCAGGTTCCTAGGCAATACTGTTCTTTGCAGCATCTGATTTTACTTTTATCACCAGACACATTCACAGCAGAACACTGTTTCTGCCTTGGCCCAGCTACTTCATTCCTTCTGGGTCTGTTAATAGCTCTCCTCCCCTTTGCCCCAGTAGCATATTGGACACCTTTGGACCTGAGGGGACTCAACTTTTGGTGTCATGTATTTTTGTCCTTTTATACAGTTCATGAGGTTCTCATGGCAATTATACCGGGATGGTTTGCCATTTCTTCCTCCAGTGGATCACATTTGTCAGATCTCCATCTGTCTTGGGTGGCCCTACATGGCGTGGCTCATAGCTTCATCAAGTTACACAAATCCCTTTGCCATGACAAGGCAATGATCCATGAAGGGGCCCACATCCATAGTCAGATAGGAATTCAAAGGAATCTAAGGCAAGTTCATATGTATGGCATAATTAATTGCAAAGAGCATTAGGAAGGGGCACTTGCAGGTTACCAGTACAAATAGAATCGCTATTTCTCAGCGTTGAGGTGATCTGGTGAGGCTTCTTGAAGTTGTCAAAATTTGAATTGAGCATTACTAAACCCAGGTGTGTAAACTCGAAAGAGATGAAAGTCCTGGTTAAGAATAGAGTGTGAGCAGTGTCTTGGCAGTAGGACTACATGTGTCACAAGAACTTAGAGTAGAATAATTTGACTTATAATTTGACTAAAACAGATAAATTAGATAGGTAAATGGGGAATAGATGCAATTTTAAGGTTACAGATTAGTGGATGGAAGCTAAAAATGTTTTACTTCAGGAATGGAAGTCATGTAAGATTTTTGAGTCGAAGCTAGTACTTTTGAGAAAACTAATTTTTGTTTTAAATGCACGATGAATTTTAAAAAAAGTTGAGCGACAAGAGTTTTAATAACCAAGACCTGAATAAATCAGGCTACTGGCAGAAGCAATAGGAAAAAAAAGCATAGAACTTCTGTGAAGGAAGTACTGATTAGCCTTGGTTATTGAGTGTATATGGGGTGAAAATGAACGAAGAGACTGAGATTGACCCAAGCATCCAGTCCATGTTAATTGTGAAAATGAGAGAAAGTTGAATTAATTCTGAAAGATGAGTGTTTGCTTTTAGATATGTTCAACTTGAAATGACCACAGGGCATCCAAATAGAACGTTCTAATCAATAGTTGGCATATGGGGAGAGAAATTCAAGACAGTCAGGAAATCAAGGTATGAGTCATTCATCCTCATGAAGTAATTAAACATCTAAAAGCGGATGAATTTTTTGAGAAAGTGTTTCCCAACTGTACCTTGTGTTAGACATATTCAGTCAACAGTGAAACTGCAGTGAGGCACTGAGGCATGAGCGGATGCCAGTCACCTTCCTGAGTGATGAGATACGGTGTGAACACCAACGAAGTTCCCAGCCATGAAGCGGCGAGCTCGGCATGACTGACACGCATGAGAATATTCATTTCTGTTTAATAGCTATAAAGCCAGGTCTCTCAAAAATGTCAATTTTCAGGACTTCCCTGGTGATACAGTGATTAAGACTCTGTGCTGCCAAAGCAGGGAATGCAGTTAGACTATGGTTGGGGGACTGAGATACCACATGATCTGCAGCCAAAATTAAAAAATAAAAAATAAACTTACACATTCTTGGTCTCAGGACGCCAAGACCCTATTTGAAAAAAATTAAAACAAATATTGTATATTGACACATATATAGGGAATCTAGATGAGCCTAGAGAATAACATTGAAATATATGCATTGCCATGTGTAAAATAGATAGCCGAGCTATTTCAAAGCCTAAAGTGGTGCACTCAATATGCCAGCAAATTTGGAAAACTCAGCAGTGGCCACAGAACTGGAAAAGGTCAGTTTTCATTCCAATACCAAAGAAAGGCAACACCAAAGAATGTTCAAATTATAGTACAATTATACTCACTTCACATACCAGCAAGATTATGCTCAAAATCCTTCATGCTAGGCTTCAGCAGTACATGAACCAAGAATTTCCATATGTACAAAATGAATTTAGAAAAGGCAGAGGAACCAGAGATCAAATTGACAGCATCTGCTGGATCATAGGAAAAGCAAGAGAGTTCAAGAAAAACATGGACTTCTGCTTCATTGACCACAGTAAAGCTCTTGACTGTGTGGATCACAACAAACTGTGAAATATTCTTAAAGAGATGGGAATACCAGACCGCCTTACCTGCCTCCTAAGAAACCTGTATACAGGGTAAGAAGCAACAGTTTGAACTGGACATGGAGTAACAGAGTGGTTCAAAATTGGGAAGAGTAGGTCAGGGCTGTATACTGTCACCTTGTTTATTTAACTTATATGCAGAGTACATCATAAAAAAGCTGGAATGAATGAAGCATAAGCTGGAATCAAGATTGCTGGGAGAAATAACAACAACATCAGATATGCAGATGATACCACTTTAATGGCAGAAAGTGAAGAGGAACTAAAAAGCCTCTTGATGAAGGTGAAAGAGGAGAGTGAGAAAGCTGGTTTAAACTCAGTATTGAAAACACTAAATTCATGGCATTTGGTCCCATCACTTCATGGCAAATAGATGGGTAAAAAGTAGAAACAGTGTCTGATTTCATTTTCTTAGGCTCCAAAATCACTGCAGACAGTGACTGCAGCCACAAAATTAAAAGACGGTTGATCCTTGGAAGAAAAACTATGACAAACCTAGACAGTGTATTAAAAAGCAGAGACACCACTTTGCCACCAAAGTCCATATAATCAAAGCTATGGTTTTTTCAGTAGTCATGTACGGATTTGAGAGTTGGACCATAAAGAAGGCTGAGTGCCGAAGAATTGATGCTTTCTAACTGTGGTGTTGGAGAAGACTGAGAGTTGCTTGGACAGCAAGGAGATCCAACCAGTCCATCCTAAAGGAGATCAATCCTGAATATTCATTGGAAGGACTGATGCTGACGCTGAAGCTTCAATACTTTGGCTACCTGATGTGAAGAGCCGATTCATTGGTGCTGGGAAAGACTGAGGGCAAGAGGAGAAAGGGGTGAAAGAGGATGAGATGGTTGAATGGCATCACTGACTCAATGGACATAAACTTGGGCAAATTCCAGGAGATAGTGAAGAACAGGGGAGTCTTGCATGCCACAGTTTGTGAACTTGCAAAGAGTTGGACATGACTTAATGACTGAACAGCAACAGGTAGGAAGTTGCTCTATGTCACAGGGAGCTCAGACTGGGGCTCTGTGATGGCCTAGAGGGGTAGGCCAGGGGGCAAGGGGGCAAGGGGCCAGTGAGGGAGGTCCAAGGAAGGCATATATGGATACCTATGACGGAGTCAAGTTGTACGGCAGAATCCAACACAACATGTAAAGCAATTAGCCTCCAATTTAAAATCAATATTTCAAAAAGTCGATTTTTATGGAAGAGAAGTGGCATCGCTATTAAAATATTTCTAAAACTACTCTAAGTGTTTTAAGGACATAAATCATTCACAAAGACTGATAACTTATTGGAGGCAATGTACCCATGGTAACCATTGTACCTCAATACCTTGGATGAGAACCTTTGCTTTAAGGAGTGGTTAGGAGGAGAGTGAAGGGACTCAGAAGTGAACCTTGGAGAATGGACCCATGTAATGGATGGGAAAGTAGCCAGTAGATTAAATGGATCAAGGACTGGCTGGATGGACACAGAGAGACAGGTAAATAGAAGTCAGTAACTAGAGATTATACAATGTAGGGACCAGCAAGAGAGCCAGCTAGGACAATGCCACTGAAGCCAAGGGAAGGAAAAATTAAAAGGACAAGTTCCACAGCATTTAATGATATGGAGAGGCTGGATAAATGGAGTCAGAGAATCAAAAGCTCATCAGTAAACTTCTTAAATAGTCAGTTCAGCAAAGTAAAGAGGAGTCAAGGTATAATATTCATGAGGCTATGGAAAACAACACTGATAGGAAAAAATAAGGCACAAAATGACTCAAAGCTTTGTCTTTTACAACTGTTGATAAACCAATGTTAATTTGGGAAATATGGGAAAGAGGGACAAAGATATTCAGGAAGATTGATAAGGTATAATTGGGAGGGTATACAGAATCCCAGAAGCTGAGGCAAACTCTGTAGAACCACCTAACGCATGTCAGGTCCTGAGACTTTAGTTAGAAATAAATGCTTTGGGAAAAAGAAAAGAAAAGAAAAGAAATAAACGCTTTGGTGGGGAACAGACCCACTCACCCTAGTGTTAAATGGAGAAGGCTCAGCCAAAGTTGTTTATTGTGTTGCTTTTTGCAATCATTTTGGTACCTGCCTGAAGGGTACATTGCATATAGGTGAAATTTGTGGCAGAGATACTGGTTGAAAGATTAATGCAAATCTAGGCCAAAAATGATAAGAGTTTTGAGTTATGGTAGTAGCTATGTGGTTGGAGAAAACTGAACTCATAAGATATTGAGGATTAATGTGGCTTTATTACAAACTGAGTTTGAGGGTGACAGACTTGTTGAAAGGAGGTCTCCATCAATATATATTATGGGCACTTAACCTGTAATCAGTCTCACAAGAGAAGGAGTGGATTGGCCTGTGTTGAAGGCAAGGTTATGAATTAAGTTTTGATGATGTTGAGTCAGAAGTGTTTTTAAAATAAACACTAAGTTGGAGATGCCCTGTCAGAAGCATAAATATTAATTTGGAGTTAAGGAGGTTCAAGTCTGGATCTGGAAGTCATCAAATTATAAGTTCAATCTCTAGCCAGAGAGAACATTACCCAGTGATAACAGAGCCAGGGTCAGATGACATTTAGTGGGCAGGAGACACAGAGGAGGTACAGAGATGCAAAAAAAGAAGCCAGCAGAAATCAGTAGTCTCTTAGAAGCCAAGAAGCAACAAGTTTCAGAGCAAAAACCCAGAAATATTAGGTAAATTGGATCTACACAGTATTCACTGAAGTTATTAAGGACATTTTCAGTCCTGCACTGACTACGAAAGCTAGATTGCAAAGAGATGAAGAGGAGTAAAAGTGAACATTAAAACATTAGCATAGATGACTCTGGGAAAGAAAGTATCAGAAGCCTATTAAACAACTAGGAAGTTCCAGTGGACACTGGATAGCAGGACTGGGCTAAGTCTGTGTTATCCTTTAGCAACAAAATATAGAATGAAAACTAGAAGACTGCATGATGAATATGTAGAAAATGGCATGAAGGAAAGGCAGAAGCTGTTTGGAGGAAGTTGAAGACAGGCTTGGAAATACGAAGTTGTCCTTCCCCTTTGCCTTCAAGGACAGATGTAAAGTTGGCATGATAATGACATTATATTTCAAGAGCTGAGAATACTGCCTGGCACATAGTAAACATTCATTTTCTCTATTAGTCAAGATATGCAAACTGTTGTAAACAAGTGCATAATTCCAGCAGCTTATCATAACAGGGTTTATTTCCCCTCCAAGTCATAGTCTAATGTAGGCCTGAGATGGGGCTGAGCTTCATGAAATCATTGAGGGCCTCAAGGCCTGTCCAAGCTAGTGCTCTGCCCTCCCCAGCGTCTTGGAACCACCCAGTGGGTCCTCTGGGACCAGACGAGAGAAAGAGGACATGGAAGAATGTGGGGGGAATAATTTGAAGGCTTAGAAATGCTATCAGTGTTCTTTGTCTGTTGGCCAGAAATGAGTCACATGATTCCTCCTAACAGGGAAAGGCTGAGAAATGTTTAACCATGGGCTATGGAGGAAAAGAACCATTTCTGGTAAAACCAGAAGTGGTCTCTGTAACTGCTATTATGATTACTATTATTTTTACCTACAGCAAAGTCTTAGCCAACATAATTCCCACAGCGTGGAGAAGAGATAAAAGACAAATGGTTTGATGAACAGTAGGGGTGAGAAAGATAGACATGAACATACTAAAAGCAAACTCAGGGAAGCTGAGGAAGAAGCACGTATCCTGAGAAGAACAGCAAATGCAACGATGGGATAGGAGAATGTGGCAATCCTAAACTTACACTTCTGGTCCAGACCGCCTCTGCATGTCTGACTCATAGCCAACTGCTACGTCTCCTTTCCATGTGGGTTTTTAGAGGTATCTCAAGTTAAACACAGCCAAAACTAAACTGATCTGCACAGCCCCTCCAGAATTCATTCTCAGTTCAGTTTGGTCACTCAGTCATGTCTGACTCTTTGTGATCCCATGGATTGCAGCACGCCAAGCTTCCCTGTCCATCACCAACTCCTGAAGCTTACTCAAATTCATGTCCATCAAGTCAGTGATGCCATACAACCATGTCATCCTCTGTCACCCCCTTCTCCTCCTGCCTTCAATCTTTCCCAACATCAGGGTCTTTTCCAAGAAGTCAGCTTTTCACATCAGGTGGCCAAAGTATTGGAGTTTTAGCTTCAGTATAAGTCCTTCTAATGAATATTCAGGACTGACTCCTTTAGGATGGACTGGTTGGACCTCCTTGCAGTCCAAGGGACTCTCAAGAGTCTTCTCCAACACCACAGTTCAAAAGCATAAATTCTTCGGTGCTCAGCTTTCTTCATAGTCCAACTCTCACATCCATACATGACCACTGGAAAAACCATAGCCTTGAC